TCAACAACGCGGGTAGAGGTATAGTGTCGAGCATATGGGACGGGGATATACTCGATAAGTATGAGCTCATTATGAACACAAACCTCCGGTCAGTCGTATGGTTGACTCACTTATGTGTCGAGCATTTGGAGAAAACTAAGGGTAATATCCTTAACGTGTCGAGCATTGCGGCACTTAAACCGGTAATTATTTACAAAACAATTATTTTATTATATTTATTTTTATGTACAAGGTCATTCAATAATTGTGTACTAAAAATATCCATTAAAAAGGTTCAATGCTTTTATTAGTAATGCATCTTTTGCAAAGTTACTTATTGAATTACCCTGTTTAAAATTAATTTTAATTTTAATTTATCAATAGATAAACCTATTGTATTCAATGTCAAAGGCGGCGCTGGATATGTTCACAAAGTGCGTAGCGCTCGAGTTGGGCCACAAAGGCATCCGGGCTAACGTTATCAAGTATGAGCTTGCTTATATTCGCTAGTAATTGAATAATATAAAATTACTCTGCTTGTTACATTAAATGTTTACGTTAAAAGTCCCGGTCCCGTTAAGACCGAGTTTATCGAAATCTATCGTAACGTTACTAAAGCAAAATACGATGAATTATACGAAGAAAGGGCCAAGAAGTGTCCGATTGGACGGGTGGGTGAGCCCCTGGATGTGGCAAAAGTCGTGTTGTATTTGACGTCCGATGAGGCGTCGTTTGTGACCGGATCCAACTTCGTGATCGATGGCGGCGCCCAATATGTCTAACCCTCATATTTATCACGTTATGGTCATGTCTTAGTTATTGGCATTATGGCCTAGATAAATTTAATCAAGAATAAGATTTAAGAATGCATTAATGAATTGGTTTTGAATTAAAAGTTTCTATACTGTATGAACGAGTGTGCCATGCTTTATTTAATGCTTATATACTAGCAGTTTGTTTAACAGGATAATTTAATAAAATATACTTTAAAAACATTAATAAATAAAAAAGCAAATAGAAAAGTGCCTTAAATATTTTATTTAAAATGAATTTTAAATTGTTTAAAAACTTGTTTTAAATGTACTATGACAAATGAATTTTAAATTTTTCAAAAATTTGTCACAAAGTCTTATGACAAATCACTTTTAAATTGTTTAGAAATTTATCCTAAAAGTCTATTAGTTTAGTAATTTATAAGTAATCTTACTTAAAATGTTTAAGCTTTAAAAATTTTATTATAAAAAATTGTAATGTATTTATCTAATATTATTTATTATATATACATTAAAATTTTATATTCGTACTCTATTAAAAATTAAAATATAACTGATTAATTATAATAAGACAACTATTTTTAAGAATTAATATTTATCACTTAATTTTTAGTGTTAATATCTATATATACTAAATTATATTTTAATAAATCTAGAAAATGGACTTTCTACTATTAACAATTGTATCAACTTTTGTAATAATCGCCCTGTACAATTACTTGTAAATTCGTGATACTTTAAAATATTTTAGTTATCTGACATATTTAATATTATAAATAGATTTTACGCTCATGGATACAATTATTGGAGCAAGCAAGGTATAAATGGGCCTAGACCAATACTGATATTTGGAAATTTTCTCAGCGCATTTAAATGTCCAAAATACATCTTGGACATCAAATGGCTTAATAAATATGGAAATATTTATGGGTAAATTAATTAGAAATTATACTATTATTACTAATTATAATATTAATAGTATACACAATTTAACAAGGTATTATTCTGGAAAAACACCCATTTTGCGTATTTCGGACCCGGAGTTAATCAAAGTTATATTAGTTAAGGATTTTCATCTATTTCCAAATCGATCCAGGTTAAACGTGTCCAACAATGCAATAACAAGTAAAAATCTGAAACAATTGACCGGGGATGATTGGCACCGCGTTCGCGCAATAGTTAGCCCGGTATTCAGTCCGGGAAAAGTGCGCAAAATGAGGCCCAAGGTTATGGAGT